GCCGCAGGTCCCCTCGCAGCCCCTGGGGAAGAGTGGAGCGCAGGGGAAGGGAAGGGGGAGAGGGAGGAGGAGCGGGAGGGCGAGGGTGGCCCTGGGTGTGGGAAGGCCCAGCGGCCATGGCCCGCGGCAGTGATAAGCATCTCTCCCCTCCCCCCACCGAGGGCATCCACGTGCTTCACATTCTTGGACGTCTGGGAGTGGGGTGGAGGCCTGGGCTGCAGGGCTGGTGGGGGCACAGATGGAAAGCCACATCCTGTGTGCCCCTCACCCTCCACTGCACAGAATAGGGGCTCTGGGGCAGGCGACAAGGTCCCAATGAAGTGTCCTCCCAAGGCCAACGCGTCACCTCTTCCCACCTCGAGTGGAGGTGGCAGGACGGAGTGGAGACTCTTCCATGGGGCTGTGGTGCTGCGGTCGGCGGGGCTCCTCCCCCCTACACACTTGCAAAGCAGTGACAATAGTTGCAGGTACTCTAGACAGGGTCTGGTCACCACCCCTTGCCCCATTCTTTCTCCAGGACAAGTCTCCAACACACACTCCCATACATAGAACTGGGGGGCCCCCCAGCTTCCAGCTGTACCCCACCCGCCAGGTCTCCACTTATCATCCAAGGTTAGGGAGATGGATGCAGGGTTCCCCAAACTTGTTAGGACAACTCTGAGCTCCTCCTCCACCCCATCAGGGGCCGGGGGCCACGCATGAGACAGCCACTGGAGGCCAAGGTTTGTCTTCTGCAAAAGGCCACCAAGCTGGGACAGGGGTGCCCCCCAGCAAGCGTCCTGCCCCAATAAGGTGGAGGCGGCTTTCAGCCAGAGCTGGGGAAATGGGAGAAAGGGCCTGGTCTCAAGTGTCATTTGACCAAAATCCACCAACCCGCACACCTTCCCCTACTCCTCCAGCATCTTCCCAAAGGCAAAGGTCATGGGGCAGAACAATAGGAGAGATGGGGAAGTGGGGGTTCCTGGGAGAGACAGAGCTGGGGTGCCTCTCCACCTCAACAAAAGAGGCCGAGGGCTGGGGCAGGCACTTTGCCCAGCAACCCTTCTCCAATCTGCCAGGCCCCCAGAGGCCTGCTCCACCCCCACCCCACTCCCTCCCTGGCAGGCCAAAGGGAGGCAGGAGGGTGGGGAAACCCACAGGGAGTGCTGAGCCAAGCCAGGAAGAAACCTGAGCACTTAACAATAACCCCAGAGCACCGGCTCACTCCCACCCAGGAAGCACTGCCACAGCTGGGTGGGAACGTGCCCAGGTGTGCAACCCTGACAGGCGGAACCCCTCCCTCCAGGAAGAGCCTGGACCCCAGGTGAGAAAGGTGACCAGGCCACCAGGGTTCTTACCAGCCTCCCTCATAGGGCAGCCCAGAGGGAACAGTGGAAACAAGGTAACAAACGCCCACCCCCCTCAATATTCACGGTTGGGGGAGATGTAGAGTGGGGCCAGCCCTGCAAAACCGAACTGAACCCCTAAGAAAAAGCTGGACTGAGAGGAGGAGGATTCTCCCGCCAACGAAGCAGCTTCTCCTCCCCATTCTTGGGACGGGAGTCTAAAAGATGACAGCCGAGTGTCTGGGTCCTGGACAAGGCCCAGATGGGCCAGGTGCACGCCCTGCCCTCCCCCCTCCCCAAGGTGTAAGGGTTGGGGAGGATGGCGAGAGAGTCTGACCAAGTTCCCCTTTCTGTCATGTCCCGAAGACGCCAGCACTCCCCTGACACCCACTCTCCAGTGGAAAGCGCAGGGGCTGGGGGCAGCAGCTGTCGCACAGGCGGGGGCTCCCCCCAGGCTTTGGCAGGAGTAGGATGTGGGGAGGGAGGAGGCCCCTCCTCTGAGCGGACAACCCCAAAGGGCCTTCACTCCAGCTCCAGGCTGGGAGAAAGGGCCGCCCGGCTGCGGAGCCCTGCATTTCAAGCAGGTAGAAATACACGAAGGGACGGGGGCTGCAAGTGCCCTGGAGGAAGAAGGCATGTCTCCTGGAAGGCGAACCCCCCAAAGTTCCTTCGGGTGGATGGAACAGAAAGCGCGCCCAGGGTAGCGGGGAGAGCGCCAATTGTCCAGCAAGGGCATCTTCGTTTCAACAAGGGGGAGGAGAAGGGCAAGTCACCACGGTGCCCCCAACCCGCCCCACCCCACCCGGCTCCTACAATAGGAGCAGGGCGGCCGGTACGTACAGTGGTTTGAGCCATTCCAAAGCGGAGTCCGCAGCGGGGTGGAGTAGGGCCCGGGGGCGGGGAGCCCCTTCTCCGGGAGCAAACAGGCCCGGTTCTGATTATAGAAATCCACCACCAGGAAGGGGTTCGGGGTGGGGGTGAGGCCCCCCACGTCTACACTCTCGTACATCTTCCCCCGCGAAGACAAGAGGTCCGGCGGGGAGGTCCTGCGCGCCGCCC